TGTAGACAAATGCAAATTTCTTAAAAATAAAGAAATACTTAGTCACAAAAGGACAGATAGTGCATAGTGCCACTGTTGTGAAGCGGGACTGACACCGGAGGTGGGGGGGGAACTAAGAGGGGATAAATAATGTATACTTCATTGAAACAGATGAGGGAGAGAACTGTTCAGGAGGACTATATGATTAGGTATTTATTGTCATGACAGGAGTCCAGAACGAAGGCTGCATAGCATAGTGGACTGGATTTGTGGGGAGGGATTGTATAACAATAAAAGAATTTTTATTTTTTTACTTTTCAAAGAGAAAAACAAATTGGGGAGGAGGAGTGGGCAGGAAGGAGAACGTGCAACAATGAATGAGTGGGGGGAAATTAAATGGAAAGAATATGCTGTAAAAAAGGGAAAAAAAGAGAAAAGCAAATGAGGGGGAGGAGTGGGAAGGGAGGAAAGTGTGCAATAATGAATGAATGAAAATCCAAAGTTTCTCTAAACTTTTGTTAAAATAAAAAAAGAGAAAGAAAAAAAGCTGGACATAGACCAATAGAGACTAGAGGAATTCCCAAGACGTGATGCTATATTAGGGAGCTGACTATGATTCACAGCTCACTCATCACCAGCAGGTCTGCAGGTCCCACGCCCTTCTCCTGATATGCTCGAGCCCCTGGCCACAGTCCCAGTGCCATCCACCTTGCTGGGGGTCATCTTCTCTCTCAGATCCTTCACCTTTCCCACATGAAGTTCTTTTCCAAGGTCTAGTGCCTCCTAACAAAATTCCCCAAACATGTGAAAGGATGCTTCACTACTGTCTCTGAGGAGCACCCCGGTCCTCCTCATTGGTTCTTTTGGCAGCCCATGGGCTACTCAGTACTATTCTCCAACACCACAACTCAAAAGCACCACAACATCAAGAAAACAAAAATCCTCACCGCTGGCCCAACAGGCAACAACATAACGGAGGAAAAATTGAACTTGTCAATGATTTCTTTTTACACCCATGATAATAGTCAAGAAATTAGAAGACATGTTGTACTAAAAAAATCTGCTGTCAAAGGCCTCTTCAGAGTGCTAAAGAGAAACAGCACCAGTTTTAAGACTAAAGGGCACCTGATCCAAAGCATGGTCTTTTCAATTATTTTCTACACATCCAAAAGTTAGACAATGATGACAGAAGAATGCCCAAAAATCACCTCTGAACTTGGAAATGAGGTCACTCCTGGAGATCTTCCTTTAGCAATGTAATAGTCTGGCTTATAAAAATACACAGTATCGCCCGTACCTAACGTACTTCCTTAAATGACCAACCACATGTGGTCAAGGAGTCAACATTTATCCTAAAGAATACATGAAAAAGGAGGAGCAAGTAAGTTAATGAAAATAAACCAGAGATTGGAAACACTTTACTTTTATGCATTATATGCTTCTTTAGAAACCTTTTACTACTAGTTTCCTATGCACGCTATATATAAACACACACACACACACACGTATGTGTGTGCATAATATATACATACATGTATAAAAATGTATATGCATGCTTTCTCTATGTGGGTGCACTATGTGTGAAAACATGATTATGATAACACTGACATAAAATTTAGCTAATATTATCCAAAGTATATAATAATTGATTTCTGTTCTTCTGGTATTTGAAATGAATAAATAATATAGTACGTTTTGGGGGGGGGTGTGTACCATCAAAATTGGATCTGACTGGTACAGGAGGAGATTGCCCCTCCTTCTCCAGCAGAGCTTCTAGTGGATTTGAACCACACACCTCTGGAACTGCAGTGCAGCTCCTTGCCACTAGGCCACCAGAGCTCCCTAGTAAAAAAAATTTTTTTTAAAAAAATATTTTATATCATCTAACAATTTATAAAGAAATTATTGGGAGGATACTTAATTTGCTATGTAAACTTTCATCCAGAACATCTGGTTGCTGACCCAAAAGCTGAGGTTTAAATCTACAGAAGAGAAAGGTCTGACAATGTACTTGTGAAAAATTCACGCTTGACAACCCTGTGGAGCAGTCCTACTAGGAACACCTACACAGAACACCATGAGTCAGTTGATTTGAGAGCAAACAGTGGTAAAAAGGTAAGAGTGTAAACGGAAAACCTGGGTATCTGTGATGGAGGTGGTGAAGAGGTGACTTCTGTAAAGAACTGGTAAAGGCGAAGTTGTCTCAAAGCTAGGCTTCCCACTGGGACTTGCACCCACAACCTCTGGATGCCAAGGTACAAGAATTATTCTCTAGGGGGAGCTCTGGTGGCCTAGTGGTAAGGAGCCGCAACTACAATCCCAGAGGTGCACGGTTCTAATCCACCAGATGCTCTGCCGGGGAAGGAGGGACAATCTCCTCCTGTACCAGTCAGATCTGGTTTGATGGTACACTCACACAAAAATAATAAAAAATAAAAAATAAATAAAATAAAAAAATAAGAATTATTCTCTTTTCACCAGGAGTATCAGAGGAAAGAGAAATTAGAAACATGAAGACTGTATTATGAAGCCCCTTGCTGTGAGACCAAAACAGAATGAATTGGGCTACCATTACTCAATGTTTTGATCAAAGAATTCATGAAAGAACTCTGATAAAGGGGGGGAGATGTAGAACAGAAGTTCAAATTCTCACTGAAGTTAGACTAGGCACTGTGGTGTTGGTGAAGAAGACAGACTGTACTAAAAGGGAGCTCTGGTGGAAGCCTACTGGTAAAGAATAGTGCTCACAACCCAAAAGCACATGATTCAAATCCACTATCTACTCTGAGATAGAAAGATAGGCAATCTCCTCCCATGTAATTTACAGCCTCTATAAATGAGCTATCCAAGTTCATAGCCCAGGGGCAAGAAGTTTAGGAAGTGGATGCCACTCCTGATTCAGGCCTTTTGTTCATAGGGTTGCTATGAGTTGTGCTCAACTCGAAGGCAATCAACAACCACCACCACCACTAGTTGGAGAGTCTGCAATGAGTCAATTCAAACTCAACAGTATGTAACAACAAACAGGTCTGTCTTGGGAGAAATGCAACCAGACTGCTCTTTAGAAGCAAGGAGATGGCAAAACACTATCTTGTCCTCGGGAAAAGACATCAAGCTAGGAAAAGTACAGGGTCAAGAATGACAGGAAGGCTCTCAAGATGGGCTGACATAGTGACTGCAATGATGGGCCCCAGCATGTCAGAAATCATGGAGTTGGCAAAGGACAGGGCAAGGTTCAGATTTGTTGTTCACAGAACCATAATGACACATAACAACAGCAAGAAAGAGATCTGACAGGAAGCTGAGCGGGCAGTGAGTTTATGCTAATGAGGAACAACTCAGAAAAGGAGAATTGTACAACCTTACAAATATAATTAACGTCACCATACTATTCATGTAGAAACTAGTAGACTGGTATAGGTTTTGCGGTTTTAACAGAAGAAAGGAAGGAGATGTGCATATAGTCTGATCTCAGTGGCTAAAGCACACCATATAACAAAAGAGTTCTCCAAAATAGAAGAACTAGCCTGGAAGTAATGCAAGCAATTGAATTACTTGTGGAACAAGGTGGCTGACAGGAAGAGGTGAGAGGCTAGACTTTGAGATTCTGAGTGGAAGTATAAAGATCTACAGCCCAGGCTGCCACATTTACAAACACAGAACCCACTCCTAATTGGTATTTCGTGAGGCCAAACCTAAAGTCACTACACTTCCTTATATTCAGACGGACATGCTCTGGTGGTGCAGTGGATAAGTGTTTGGATGCTGACCTAAAGGCTGGTGGTTCAACCCAGCAGTGGCTCCAGAGAAAAGAGCTAGCAGCCTATTCCTTTGGGGCAGTTCCATTCTGTCCTCCAGGGCTGCTGTGAGTGGGAATCGAGCTGATGGCAACACGTTTGTTTTTTTGGTAAACTTCCCAGGAAGGTTCCTGGGCAGCACAAACGGTCTACAACACTGAGGGAAAGAGTGGTGGTCAGACTCTTCCAACAGCACTGCAGAAGAAAGGCCTGGAGATCTGCTTTCACCAAAGCCTACAGCCAAGTAAACCCCACTGAGCGTTCCATTCTAACAAAGTCGATGCCAAAGAGAATCTACCAGCTTGATGACAACATGCTTTGTGTACTCTCTGGGTGAAGAGGAGGACCAGGAAATGAAATCATATAGAAAATCAAAGGAAGCCTCTCACAACTCTTATTTCAGAAAGCAATCAGTTAGTATCAGGTGTTCAGGTTGAGAGGTTATAGGAAAAATGCTGCAACTCTTCCCAATCCAGCTTACTAAAAAACCCAACACAAAGTATCAGAACCAAAACCAAAAGAGCACTAGGTAAGCATCCCTTGAGATTTATTATCTTATCGACTTTACCAGTCATCCACCAAGGTTCTCAGGTAACACAAACAGTTTTAAAGGTGGACAATTCAAACCCACCCATCAGTACTGCAGAAGAAAAGGCCTGGTGACCATCAAGATTACAACTAAGAGAACCCTGTGGAGCCGTTCTCTGCATCCCACAGGTCTCTGGGTGAAAAGACTCCACTGCAGCCAGGTACACTTCGGCAGGGACGAGTGGACTGTCTGTCACCGCTGAGCTGCTCAGAAGTCAGTAACAGAAAGACATTGAAAAGTAAGCCTGGCAAACAACCGCACAGATTTTAAAGGGCAGTATCTGCCCCACAATAAAGCTCAAAAGGCAGGAAGGAGAAGGATGAAAGGATGCATGGAACCAGGAAACACTGACACGAAGCAGGAAAAAGTGCTGTTATACTGTGCAAACTGCAATCAATGCCACAAAACATGTCTATGTGTTGCTGAATGGAAAACCAATATGCTGTGATTGATTATCCCAGCCACTACAACATCACAATGTCCACTTAACAAATGTCGTCTGAGCCCGGAAAGAAATCGGCTGCTCAAGTCACAAGACCTCACTTCTAGTCCCACGTACTATCTGAGTGGTGCAGGAGCTCCGTGAGAGGCAGGAACAGCAGCACTTGCACCAAGAGTCTACGAAAAATACTCACTCTGCGGGTGGGGGTGGAGGCAGGTATGGGGCTGGGGCTGCTGGGCTGCTTCCTAGGAACAGGCTGTCCCTCAGGTGAACTGGTAGCTGAGGGCGAGCTCAGGGACGAATGGCTGAGAACAGAGTCTTCTTCGGGGCAAGAGCCGAGCACTGCACTTTCCCAAGCCATGCTCTTGTCCAATGGTGGTGTCTGCGGAGACTCGGGCCAAGGAGCTTTCACCACCAGGATATCCTGCAAGAGCACCACGGGAACCTTCCCTTTGAACAGGATGCCCCCCGCCTCACTCCAACCCTGCAGTTCCCATGCAGAGCACGTTCTCTGACCACCTGGCAGTCCAGGGCTACCTTCTGGTGGGCTCTTCTGCACGTTTCTGTGACTGTCTGTGCCTCCTGTACTGGCACACCCCTCTCCATGGCACACAAGGAGGCTGGAAAGGGTGTCCTCTGAAGATGTCATGTCTGTGTCCTGACTGGCCTTTGCTAGGCCCCTCTGACCTTGGTCTTCCTCTCCAACCCCATTTACAGCCACTCTGAAGGGAGAGGCTTCAGAACTGTACTGAGTGTGGTCCACAGGGCTGCTGGGCTGGTCACTCGAGTCCTCTGTCAGGTCAATCAGGACTGGGGTTACACCAGGTTTGCTCTTGGCTCTTTTTAAAAAGTTGTCTAAGGGGCCTTTCCCGTTGACGAGTCTTGGCCTGCATTCGGCCTCAGGACCTGCATGGCAGTCGTTCTCCAGGCGGTCCAGAGAGGTGTCCAGGTCGGGACTTTTGCTGTGCACAGCAGCACTCCGAGAGCCTTTTGGGTGGTCTGGGCCATCATCCAGCTTCTCCTTGGGAGTAAGACTCAGGCGCTTGAAGGGCAGGCGAGCTGAAAGCAAGAGAGGAGGCCAGCTTGTTAGCAGAGGTTTAAAGACATGGTCAGGAAGCCCTAGTGGTGCAATGACTAAGCACTTGATTTCTAAGAGGAAGGTCAGGGGTTCAAATCTAATCAATAACTTCTCAGAAGAAAGACTTAGTGATCTGTTTCTTCAAAGGTAACAGCCAAGGGAACTGGCTGTATGGAAGGAGCTCTTGGGGCAGCCATATGAGGTCTCTGAGTGAAGTCCATGGCACACACAACAAAGGACTTGAGCAATTACAAGAAATTAGTGTCTTCTTATTCCAGAAGCTGGAAAATAATCAATCTTGGAGGGCTCTGCCAGAAACATGTTTAAAGTTTAAAAAGGAATCAATTCCTGAATGGAAACCAATTTATTCTGTAAACTTTCACCCAAATCAATAAAAAGTTAGTAACAATGACTAAGGTTCAAAAGTGAGCAGTCTTCTCATTCTGTAATTTTTATCAATGTTCCTGTTAAAATTGGAGAGCCCTCCCAAGCTTTTAGTGGTGATGGAAGTCCTCCCGGGCAAGGCAGACCGTCCACAGGCCTGAACTAACTCACCATCACTGAGTTGGAACCAACTCCTAACTGACAGAAGGAGATCGCCCAGCCTTCTCTCTCAGAACAGTCAGTCCAACAAACCTTTGGGTTGGGAGCCCAACTTTCTATCCACTAGGCCCCCAGCGTTCCCAGTACAAGCTAACCAAAAAGCTGGAGGTTCTAGTCCATCTGGATGTGCCTCAAAAGGAAAGTTTGGTGACAAAACACCAGCCACCAGAAACTCCATGGAGGACAGTTCGACTCTGACGAGTGAGTCAGGGTCAACTCGACAGTATTCGGGGGAAACGTCTCATTCTGGCTGTAGCACCACGGCTTCCAGTAGTCACTCTTGTGGGAAGAATGCAGTTAAAAGGCAGAACGCTCTGAGCTGTCAACTAACCGTCCTCAGTGCCTAGCAGGCCTCAGGTCAGATGTGGAGATGCACTGAGGGAGAGCGAGCCAATTCAGAGGGACAGACTTCAGGGGAGCGCAGCGGACTTAAACACCAAAACATGACCCAGTAACTGCACTGATTTTTAATGAAACAAAACTTACACTTGATATTTTATAAACCTTCCTTGGTTTATAAAACCATGATGTTTTTCTCATTCGCTGCTGAGTTGTGTGGGACACATGAGGGTGAGTTCAAGATTCCACTCCACCCGTAACGCACCGCGTGGCTGAGGAAGGCATTGTCGCTGGAGGTGTAATGGATGTTAACACTGCTTTACAGGAGGTGCCCTCATCCACGATGGCCAACCGTGGAATCCGCGAAGCTGCCAAAGCCTCAGACCAGCGCCAAGCCCATCTTTGTGTGCTTGCACTCAGCTGTAATGAGCCTGTGTGTGTCCAGTTAGTAGAGGCCCTATGTGCTGGACACCAAATCAGCCTCATAAAGGTCGATGACAGTCAGAGACTGGGGGAGTGGGTAGTCCTCTGCAAAACTGACCGAGAAGAAAAGTCCCACAAAGTCGATTAAGGACAGTTGTACAGTCATTAAGGACTATGGCACATAATCTCAAGCCAAGAATGTCACTGAAGAGTATTACAAATGTAAGAAATGAAACCCAACAAAGAACTTGACATAGTTAAAAAAAAAACCAAACAAACCAATAAACCACCCACAAAACCAAACAGGATCTATAGTTTTTGTCCCTAAGCCCTTAACCTCAGGCAAGTACTGTCCTTAACATGGTGCCTACCATCATAAATCTGCTAAGAATCATCCTATGAGGAGGCAAACTCCTGGTGGTGGGGAACCACACAACAGTGGTAAAACACAGAAATGACAGGTTTTTGTACAACTCAGTCACTTGATCGACCCAACAATAAAGACACTTGCTTTTACACTGAGGATTTGAGGGCATTTACCCTCGAAAGGTAGTGGGTTACAACACATTAACCACCATGAAGATGGTACAGGGCCAGATGCAAAGATATTGGAACCGTCATGCACTGCTGGTGAGACTGTAAAATGGTACAACCACAACAGAAGGCAATCTGGTGTTTCACCAGAGAGCTAAAAAAAGATTTGCTGGGTCTTTCCCCATTCTTGTTGTCCACCATCATCGAATCATATCTGACTGGCACAGGCGATTGCCCCTCCTTCTCCAGCAGAGCATCTGGTGCAGCACAGCTTCTTACCACTAGGCCACCAGAGCACCCTTGAAAACAGATTTGATCCTGCTATTTCACTATTGCAAATATACCCTAAAATCAGACCTGTGGTACAAACAGGTATATGCACATCCTCCATGTTTACTGCAGAATCATTCACAATAGCAAAAAGAGGGAAATAGCCCAAATGTCCAGCAATAGAATGGCAAGAAAAACTGTGGTATATCCACACACTAGAGAATTATAGAGCATTGAAAAAAAAAATTAAGAACTTGTGACATCACAAAACATGGATGAGTCTACAGAACAGTATTCTGAGTGAAGTAACTCAGTCAGGACAAATACTGTACAAGAGGCTGTGGGTAGAGCAGGAAAAGGACAGATAATGAACACTGCCTTGGAGTAGTGAAAGGAAAGCCAATCTGAAATGAACAGACAATCAGAAGCTCTGTGTATTACAATTAACAATCTTGAACAGGACAGGCATTATAGATTCAAAGGTGGATATGTAAATAAATGAGTGAATTAAAAATAAATTTCTTGGTAAACCTTCACTCAAATCACAATAAAACACAAAACAAAGTGGTGCAGGACCAAGCAATATCTGTTTTGCAACCTGTGCAATTGACTTCAAGGCAACCAGCATTAAGAATACCTTCCCAAGGGAGCTTTGGTGGCCTAGTGGCAAGAAGCTGCACTACAATCCCAGAGGTATGCGGTTCGAATCCACCAGATTCTCTGCTGGAGAAGGAAGGGCAATCTCCTCCTGTACCAGTCAGATCTGATTTGATGGTACGTACACACATATGTGCGCAAGCACGCGCACACGCACACGCACACACACACGCGCGCGCACACACACACGCGCACGCGCACACACACACACACACACACACCCTTCCTAGAAAGCAGGAAGAACCCTGGTGGTGCTGTAGGCTCAGCATTGGGCTGTTAACTGCAAAGTCAGTGGTCCAAACCTATCAGCTGCTCCACAGGGGACAGATGTGGAATACAGGGTTGCTAGGAGTCAAAATCACCTTGACAGGACGGGGTATAACATTGGCTCACAATCAAAGAGAACCTTGCTCTTTGCAGACATTTGCCATTTTTTTGGCTGTCATGATTTCAGGGATGGGAGGTAAGGAGGCTACTGGCAGTCAGAGATGCTGCTAGACCTCCCACAATAACCCCCCAAAATCTCCCTGCGACAGAGGGTCTGGCGCAGAATGTCAATAGTTCCAAAGTAAAGGAACTCTCTCCCACAGAAGTTGTGGCCTCTAAATTTGTTGCTGGGCACCTAAGATAAGGGGACACTGTTGTCCTTGTTAGCTGCCAATGAGTCAATGCCTATGTACAGCAGCCTCATATGACAGAACAGAACTGCCCCCAGGGTGTCCCTGGGCTGTTATCTTTCTATGAGAACGTCAGATCTTGCTCCTGAGAAGGTGCTGGGTGAGTTGGAACCCCTGAACTTACACTTAGCAGCTAAGCACTTAATGGTTACACCACTAGTGCTCCTTCAGAGAATGTTTACTCACTCATTGGCACTGAGTTAGAACTCAAAGATGGAGCTTCACTGGGTTTCTGAGGCTGTAAATTACATGAAAGGAGAATTCCCATCTTTCTTCCAAGGAATAAGTGGAGGATTCGAACTGCCTGAGAAGCACCACTTTGGGCTGGCAGTATAACTCTGTAAAGACTTCACCAGAGCTCTTAAAGGAATATTAATGTAATAAAATGGGTGTTTCAACTTTCTATTTTACGTAGCAATTGTTTCCCTGCTCCCTCCAGTCTCTTCAAGGATTCCAACAAATTGCTTTTGCTTAAGGAGAACTAAAAATTTAATTGAGAAGACGATGTAAATACTCTTCCTATAAACACTCGAACAACGAACAACGGGCTCAACTACTTAACCCATTCCCAGAAAGTTACCTTGTATTAACTTCTTGACTGGAAAAGATGGTCTGTCTTTGCAATCCATAGCTGTGGATGAGAAGTATGAAAGGATATCATTCAATGTTGACCATAATCAAGGCAGCACATACACATCCAGAACCTATTATGTACAGACATTCTACAGTGAAGTTGTTTTTGCCTACTCTACTGGGGTCATTGGATGATGTCAGGGGGTGCTTGTGGGTGTCACAATTTGGAAGTGCCACCAGCAGCCAGTGTATGGAAGTCAGAAATGTGATTTAACCCTACAATGCATAGGACAATCTTACCACAGAAAAAGATGAAGCCCTCCCCATCCCACGCCACCCCCCAAAAAAATAAAATCAATGGTACCTAGCTAGAGAAACTCCACTCCAGATAAAATAGTAACTTTTTTCCTCCCACAACTTCTTAAAGTACTTAAACAGTGATTATGCTTCTCACAATATGGAATGACAGTGGTAGTTAAGATTCTTCACCAACATCACAAATCAAAGGCATCGATTCTTTGGTCTTCCTTATCCACTGTCCAACTTTCAGAAGCACACAAAGCAATTGAGAATACCATGGCTTGTATCAGGTGCACTTTAGTTTTTAAATGGACATCTTTGCTCTTTAGCATCTTAAAGAAGTCCCTGACAGATTTTCCCAATGCCACACATCTTTTTATTTCATGGCTGTTGCTACCATAATTGCTGATTATGGATTCAAGAAAAATTAAATCATTAACAACTTCAATCTTTATTCCTTTATCATGCTGCCAATTGGCCCAGTGGTAAGGACTGTCGTTTTCTTCACGTTGAGATATAATCTGTACGTGACCTTCTTCAGTTAATACTTCAAGTCTTCTTCACTTTGTGCAAGCAAGATTCTGTTACCTGTATAATGTAAGTTGCTGATGATTCTTGTCTTGAAATCTGATTTTTCATTGTACTGTCCAGTTTCTCAAAGTATCTGCTCAGCCTATAGATGGAATAAAGAACTCACTACCCCTGAGGCCTCTGAGCTGTGGTGCTGGAGAAGAGTATTGAATATATCATGGATGACTAGAACAAACAGGTTTGTCCTAGGTGAGATCACGCTGCTGCTGAAGCTTCGTCTGACATACTTTGGACATGTTGCAAAGAGGGACTAGTCCTTGGAAAGGGACATTATGCTTGGGAGGGTGGAGGGACAGCGCAAGAAAGAAAGACCCTCAATGAGATAGACTGATTCAGTGACTGGGGTAATGGGGGTAGGTGTATCAGAGACAGTAAGATTGACACAGGATAGAGCAAGGTTTAGGGCTGTTGTACATAGGGTTGCTGTGAGTCACAGGCAACTCGACGGCACATACCACCACCACCCCTCCTGAGTTAGGGAGCTTTGGTGGCTAGTGGCAAGAAGCTGTACTGCAATCCCAAAGTCTCAGAATTCAAATCCACCAGCTGCTCCGTGGGAGGATGGGCAATCCCCTCCCAAACCATTAACTGCCTCTGAAAAGCTGCTGGAGGGTCAGCCATGGGTCCGTTCTGACTCAATGGTACACAAGCCCTGAGTTGGAGCTGACTCATAGGTTACCCTCCAGCAAGTTTCCTGAGGCTATAAATCTCACTGGAGAAGACTGCCTGTCTTCCTTCCTCAGAGTTGCTCGGGTCACCATGAGCAGCACAACTCTCTATGGACTTGACTTGGAGCCCTTAGATTGAACAGGCATGAAGAAATTAAACCCAGACATGCACCTTCCTTGATTTTAAACCATGCAGTATTCTCTTGCTCTGTTTGATCAACTGTTTCTTGGACTAGGTACACATTTTCCAGGAGTACAATTAAGTGTTCTGGGATTATCATTCTTCTTAATTTGTTAAATCCACACAGTCAAATATCTTTACATTGTCAATAAACAGTATCTTTCTGGTATCTACTGCTTTCAGCCAAGATCCACCTGATATCAGCAATGTCATGTCATGTCATGGCCTCTTCTGAATCCAGCCTGAATTTCTGAAAGTTTTGTGTTGTTGTACTGTTCCAGCTGCTTTTGAGTATAGTCTTCAGCAAGATTTTATTTGCATGTGATATTAATGATATGGTTCCATACTCTCTTGAATCATCTTTTTTTCTAGAATGGGAATGACGATCTCTTCCAGTCAGTCAGTCAGTAGGGTAGTGGTCTTCCAAATTCTTTGGCTTATACTAGCGAGCATATCCAGAACTGACTCTGTTTGCTCAAACATCTCACAATTCCTGGGCCTTATTTTTTGCCAATGCTTCCAGTGCAGCTTTAATTTCTTCCTTCAGTACCACTGAGTCTTAATCATATGCCCTTTCCTGAAATGGTTCAGTAATGACCAATCCTTTTTAGTATAGTGGCCTCTTTTGATGCTTCCTACATCATTCAAGATTTTGTCCATAGACTCTTTAAGCATTGTAACTTAAGGCTCAAATTTGTCCTTCAGTTCTATCAACCTGAGAAATGCTGAGTGTAATGTTCCATTTTGGTTTTCCAATTCTAGCTCTTTGTGCATTTCATTATGATACCTTAGTTTGTGTTCTCAAGCTTTGAAATTTTCTGTTCAGCTCTTATTTCAGCATTTCTTCCTTTTGTTGTGGCTTCTATACCTTCTTCAATCTATATGCAAACATTATTTAGGCAGCTGGATTTTCTGAAGAATGTGGCATCAGGATTACAGAAAGACTCATCAACTTGTGTCATGCAGATGACACAACCTTGCTGGCTAAAACTGAGGACTTGAAGTGCTTACTCTGGAGGTCAAGGATTGCAGTCTCCAATATGGAACATCACAAAAACAAAGATCCTCACCAATGGGCCATTAGGAAGCATTATGATAGATAAGGATAAGACTGAGGCTGTTAACAATGTCATCTTACTTGGATCCACAATCAATATTCTTGGCACCAGCAGTCAGGAAATCAAATAATGTGTTTTAGGAAAGTCTGCTGTCAGGGACCTCTCCAGAATGCTAAAGAGCAACAATGTCTAGAGATTAAGGTGTGCCTGAATTAGGCCGTGGTCTTCTCAACTGCTTACTATTGATCTGAAAGCTGGATGATGAAGAATGGCAAAAGGGGAGGAAAAAAAGGATGGCAGAAGAACCAATGTCTTTGAGTTGTGGTGTTAGAGAATATTAAACATACCATACACAGGCAAGAAAACAGGTCTGTCCTGGAGAGGCTGAAACCATGCTGCTCCTTGGAGGCAAGGATTTTGAAGCTCTTTCTCCTGCCATGTCTCTGTCTCTTTGGGCATGTCGCCAGGAGGGACCAATCCTTAGAGAAAGATATCATGCTTAGAAGAGTAGAGGGTCCAGGGCAGGAGAGAAGACCTTGAATAAGATGGACTGACACAGTGACTTTGGCAACGGAGCAAGTGTGTCAGGGATGGTAAGGTTGGCTCAGGATAGTGCAAGGTTCGGAGCTTTTTGTTCACAGGGTCACTATGTGGTATAACTAACTCAATGGCATATAACATCCTCTGATTCAAGTTTCAGAGTCTCTTCTTCCACCCATTTTGGTTTTTTCTTTCTGCCATCTTTGTAATTACTATTTGCTTTCTTCATGATACCTTTGATGTTATCTCACTTGGTCTTCAGTCATTGGTGTTCAATGCATCAAATCTATTCTTGAGGTAAGTTTTAAATTCAGGTGGGATAAACCCAAGGTTGTATAGTGGTTCTCATGGACTTGTTTTCATTTTCTTCACCTTCAATTTGAACTTGCATATGTGTAATTATTCCACAGTCAGCCCCTGGTTTTATTTTAACTGCTGATATTGAGCTTCGCCACTGTCTCTGCACAGATGCAGTCAATTTGATTCTTGCGTAATTTAGCAAGTGAGGCTCACGTGTATGCTGTTGTTACGTGCCCTGGAGTCGACTCCAACTCACTGCAACCTACATGGGAGCTTGCTTTTATTCTGGGTCATGAGAATCTCCAACATGCTCAAATTCATTGTTACAGTCACTGGGTCTATGTATCTCACTGAGGATCTTTTTCTCTGACTCTCCACCTTCCCCAACATGTCTTTTCCAAAGACTAGGCCTTCCTGATAACATGCCCAAAGTATCTGAGATGAAGTTTCACCACTCTGGTTGCATTCTCTCCAAGACAGACTTGTTCATTCTCTTGGCAGTCCATGGGACACTCAGTACATTTTTCCAACACAAGTCAAAGGCTTCAATTTTTTTTCTGGCATTCTCACTCAATATTCAGCTTTCAATTGTATAGGAAGTAATGGAAAACATAGCTTGGGTCAGGCCATCTGTATAGTCGCCACGTATTCTTTTTCGAAAAGCATTTTCAATAATACAAAATTCTATCATGTAATCCCCAACTTCATTTCTGTCCCCAAGACCATATTACCTCCAGCTTCCAACTTTTGCATTCCTTTAGACAAATAACTTTAAATAAAGTTTAGAAGGTTGCACCTGCTAAATGGATGTGCTAAGAAAAACCTAGTTGTTTCAAGCTCTCTACATATATTTAGACAAAGACACATCATAGTGTTTTTAAAGGCAAAAACACTGGGTCTTTCTAAAAAATTCATTTGCCCGTAGATGTAACCAAAGGAGCCCCAGAAGCATAGTAGGCTAAGGGCTGGATGCTAACAGAAACGATGATTTGAACCATTCTAAATTACCAAGCAGAAGGATGAGACAGTTTCCTCTCGTTAAGATTTACAGCCTCAATAAGCCAATAGCGAGGGTGGCTAAGAGGTGGCTAACTGACTCAATGGCAGTGAATTTGGGCAGTGTTTTTGTCTGTTTGCAATGAAACTGACTCCCACTCCCCCTGCAAAGCTTAGGAGACTAAGGAAGGCCCCCAGAAGCCTCACCTTTCCATTTCAAGGAAATGAAGGCTTCAGTCACCAAGAAAATTGGGAATTTCCTCCCCCTCTGGCAACTAAAGGACATGCAATCTTTAGCTACTTATTTTCAAGACAGTCACAGGATGTATTTGCACAGCCTGAGTCACGGTGGGCCCAGAAGCACATTAGGCTGACATCAAGGTCTTCAAACGGGTGGGGTAGGGGAAGAATCCTCATCCAGG